CGAGAGAGGGCAGGAGCGCTAGAAGCGCAGACATTGTGCTCGGACGCAAACGTTCGATGAGATATTCAACTCTTGTTATTTTGTCAGATCAGGTCCTCGGCTAGAGCTCCGTTGAAATGTGTGCAGGCGCTCAGCAAGCTGCGTGCATGTCCAACATTCAACAGACAAATATCGTGACACAAATACATGAATCGCGAGGAACAGAGCGCTGAGATGAGCACATGTAACTAATTCTAGATCTCGCCACATTTCAGCTGTCGAGCGCCAAAAGTTTTTTTTTTAGGCTCAAGAGCCGTTCAGCGTGCATTGTGATCTATAGAGGACGCTATGTGGGTTTACTACGGAGTTACTAGTTGAGGCTAGTTCTCGCCACTTGCGCCTATAACAGGCTTAGGTTGTATGCTTTCCGGGGCTGACAAAAATGTTGATGCCTGACTTTATTGAATGGTGGACGCCCTGTATCTCCGTTAGATGGTAGAAGTTCATACTTCACTGGTCGAACATGGTTTGTCAGAGATTATGTTGTTGACGCCCACTCTGAATTCGATCGGGTGTCAAGGGTCCGCGTTAATGGTTACATCTGAACAAAATTTTTAATTATACAGAGGGACCGACAGGATGGATTTCGCCTCTCCGCATGCTATTTTGCGATTAGTATAGAGCCACTGGCGAAAAGATAAGGGAGAACCCTAGATCCATTGGAAATATCAGAGGGTGAGGAACACACAAACTATCGTTGGTACGCGGACGATGTGATATTTATATATTAGTGATCCTCCTACCTCAATTCCAACCCTTATGGGGTTGCCTGGATGAGTTTGGTGAAGTGTCAGGGTATAAAGTTAATTGAATCCACAATCGGAGAGTATTGATGTTAGGAAGTGATTGAGCCCATCTCAATTAGAAAAGGAGGTTTCATTTAAATGGTCAGCACAAGGCTTCAGGTATCTGGGATCATTATCACTCCAAAAACTTCACAGTTCAACAATGTGATTGACTTATGATGTATGATAATAATAGTCTACTCAGAAACCCTTAGCTATGGCTAGATGGGAGATTCTCCCACATTCATTATTTGGTAGAATTGACACTGTAAGCAATGAATATACTTCCCAGATTATTATACCTGTTTCAGTCTCTTCCCCTCCTAATTTCCCAGTCTCTGTCTTTAAAATGATAGACAAGTTGACTTTCCACATTTATATGGCAAAAGAAGAAGCCTAGGATTAAATTAAGCTGTTAACATATTCAAAGAATGAAGGGGCATCCATCTTCCAATTTGAAGTTGTACTACTGGGCCAGCACAATTCTGGGTATGGTTGAAATGGCTTACACAAATGGGAGACGACTGGTTGGAATTAGAGAAGGAATCAATGCCCATTAAATGCCCTTGAGATGCTGCCATTTCTTGGACAAAACAGCTAGAGGAAGCTTTGGGTAGAGACTGAATGGATGAAGTGCACCAAAAAGGTGTGGTCAATAGTGAGGAAAAAAAAGGTGGAGCACCGCTAACAATTTCAAGGGTGATGGAGATTGCAAGAAGGGGACTTTAGGCCCGGTAAACCTGGATACAGGATTTAGGAATTGGGCGCGGGAAGGACTTATTATAATAGACCAAATGTTTTGAGGGTGACATTTTTTGTTCATTTAAACAATACAAAACAGATAAATTGGCTTAGGTTCTCATGATTTCTATACGATACTTGCAATTAGAGAAATTATTTAATGTCACATAGAGAATGGAAACACTTAGCGATACATCCACTTCGTAGAATTTGTTACTATAAGGATATGAAAGAAAAGAGGCGTCACAAAACTGGTATCCAAATATAAAATGTCTGCAAGGACAGCATGTCAGGGAATACTTTTGGATATTTAAGGAAAAATGGAGATGGAGATGAATGCTATTAATGATCGACGACTCGTGGGAAGATGGGTGTGAAAAGGGGACATAAATAACAAATAACCCTTCATGGAAATATATTTACCGTAATTTTTCGGACCTATAAGCCGCACCTGAATATAAGCCGCAGCAAGCGGCCATATCCACTCTCGGTTCCACTATTTACTTTTGCGCGCGCTACCCTGTCTCATCTTTTTCCCGGCCTCCAGCTTTTCCCTGCTGGAACCCGCCGCTTACAGGTGGGGTCCGCGGCCGGCCATAGAGCCCATAGAGTTAAAGGTGGTTGGCCGTTAGCTGTAAAAATCCATAGATTAGCCGCCGGTTATATAAGCCCGCAGCGTCGACAATAGGGAAAAAGGCGCGGCTTGAATAGTCCGAAAATTACGGTAAATGGAAAATAAAAATGAGAATATTTTGGACTCCTCTTATTGTTTCAAAATATAACGGAGCGTATACAAATTTGTGTTGGAGGGACTGTAAACAGATTGGAGATCACACTCCACACTTTTTTGGACTGCCCGAAGCTGAAGTCATTCTGTGAAGGGATTCGTACAGAAAATATTGGCCATCTTGAATATTAAGTGACCAAATCTTACCCACAACCTAGGGCGGGTTTCACAACTAACGACTAGGTGAACTTATCCGACTACCTTTACACTAT